TTGTTATTATTGTTATCTTCTGTACAGGTTTGTGTTGTTATTATTGTTATCTTCTGTACAGGTTTGTGTTGTTATTATTGTTATCTTCTGTACAGGTTTGTGTTGTTATTATTGTTATCTTCTGTACAGGTTAGTGTTGTTATTATTGTTATCTTCTGTACAGGTTTGTGTTGTTATTATTGTTATCTTCTGTACAGGTTTGTGTTGTTATTGTTATTTTTATTTTCTGATGTACAAAATCTTCATATCATTATACAGCAAGTCTTCTCTACATAAGGTTAATATAAACATAAAGGTATATATATATATCAGTTTAATTATATAAGAGTCTTTACACCAAATGTACATAAGTTTTTTCTTAGCAAGTTTCTAATCACTTCCTATAAGCCCTTCTTAATTCTGAAAGAACGTTGGCTTTCGCTGGCTGAGCAAAACATCTATGATATTTATATTTTTTTATATTTTTTACTTTTGGAGACGTGACTGAGGATATGACGATCAGGATATTTTATAAACTGGTCCCTTGTTCTCATATACATTAACAACTGGTAATTACTGGTGGAACTAAGGCGTCTGATTGGCTGTTTCGATAGCCAATACGAGACGAGTACTAGCAAATATAGCTAACGGGAGGGAAGAATTAGTATTAGTTTAGGATAGAATGAGGTGTTTTGGGGTGCTTGTGGTAGAAGCGGTACCGCTCTTGCCTCGCAAGCAAGATGTCACGGGTTCGATTCCCGGGTAAGAGGAAGTTGTTTGGACACTCTTCCTAGCCCCCTTGGTCCCTGTTCACCTAGCAGTAAAGTAGGTACCTGTTGTAAATCGAAAGGCTGCGAATTCGTATTCAGGGAAAGTTGTTGGAGCTTCTAAACTTGAACTGACACAATCCGAGGAGTGGTGACCCGAGGATCACACACCCAACACAGACAAAACCCAATACGTGCGCTATGCGCTAATCAAATAAAGGCAGTCGTGTAAAGCCACGGCATTATCTCTCCCACTACAGTTCCCTTCCTAACCTCCTGCTCCTTCCTCTGTCATCTTCCCCGCTCTGACTTTCGCTACCAACAACTTTTTTGGAGCTTCTAAACTTGAAACTGGTGTTTTGTTTCTATTACATTTTATTATTATTTTTCGCGCGTGTCAGTTTTGTTTTGGCAACTATTCATCTCTTGATTGGTTAGCGAATCGGCCAATCAGTTGCTGTCTTTCCGCGAGTAGGGTACCTGTTGCCTGTACGCGTGACAACAGGGGACCAGCTCGGGGTGTGTCCGTGTATAGCTTTAGCTGAGGGCGTGAAAGCACATCTTTCTTTCAGTAATGACTTTAGCGCTGAAACAAACCGTCAACTGTAAATAATAATATCTCTTATCTTTGATAAGTACATAAGTTAACGATCAGGTTTGAAAATAACATTAGCACTGAAATTAACAATGAATTATGAAAATATCGAGTTACTTGAAAAATAATGTAGGTCAGACTAACAATGGGACGTAATGGAACAAGCTCTTCATAATGGCACAAATTAAACTCGTGTTCAACAATACAAAGGTGTTGTTGATAAAGATAATTAAAAACTGTGTAAATATGATTCTTATTGGAGGAAATTAGGTAGGCTGAAGCAGAAACAATACATAAAACTAAACTTATATAGAAAAAGTTGTACTGTACTAATTAATTGCTATTTTTTCTCAGTACAATAAATGTTTTTTTTTGTATCACGTTCAGGTAAAAGTGTAATAAAATATATGACAAAGAGCCTTTAAAAATGTTTCAATGAAAATACCATTTCTGCGCATTAGTCGTCAACCAGAAACACATTGAAAACAATTTCAGCCTCTTTGTGTAGAAATATCAACAAACATCAGTATAAATAAATAGGAAAATCTATTCAAACATATCATTGGGTAATAAATGGTGAATCTGGAAAGGTGTATTAGGAATGAGTCAAATATCAGCATTTTTGTCACTAACGATGGTCACTCCATTAACGGTCGCCGAATTTTAATATATCTTACACTGAAGTTAAAGATATATTTAAACTTAAAGAAATACAAGATTAACTGAATATGACTCATTTGGACAGATAGGAGAGAGTACTAACGAAAGAGACAGTCAAGCAAATGTTAGGAAATTTATTCTTTTTAATCCGCTCGCTTGTGTGAGTTACCGTAAAATAAAACTTAATAGCACGTGTTTATTTTTTCCCTATCAGGTTGTTGGACGTCTCGTGGTGAAGGTGTCTGTCTGTCTGTCTGTCTGTCTGGTCATCAATGTATAGTAGGTAAGAACGTTCATCTATTTCCACGCATAGAATAAATATTTCCCTTGAATTCGGTATATTTTTTTTTTGAAGTATGTTTGGATATAATTTACCCTGATACACTTGCGTATAATTAGCGCCGTATAATTAAAACCTGGGTTAATTGACTGTTGGTTTAATGAAAGACTTAAAGTTAACTGTATGTTAGTGATGGAAGACTGTAGGTTGACCCAGACACTACAGTAGGCGCGTTGGATGCTGTCTATAGAACACCTCAGGGGAACTTGGTTAATAGTGAGATTGAAAGAGAGAAGAGACCTGACCCAGACACTACAGTAAGTCTATAGAGGGGAAGAAAAAGGAAGAAAAGGGAAGAGAAAGAAAAAAGGAAGAAGAGATGGGAAGAGAGAGAGGTGGATAGAGAAAGAAGTGGGGATAGAAGAGAGAGAGAAACGAAGATAGAATAGGAAAGAAATCGAGATAGAGGGGAAAGAGGGGAGAGACAGAATGGAGAGAGAGAGAGAGAGAGAGAGAGAGAGACGGGTAACTTAGTACAGTACTTCCTTCGTCACTCAATACTGAACCTCATAATGGTGTTAGGCAGAAAGTACAGTGAAACCCCTTATTTAACGGACTACATGACGAGGAAAGTCCGTTATATCGAGAGGAGTCCGTTAGATGTGAACCCTCATCTAACGAACTATTGTACATGTATATAGAGATGAAAGTCCGTTATATCGAGAGGAGTCCGTTAGATGTGAAACTTCCCATCTAACGAACTATTGTATATAGAGATGAAAGTCCGTTATATCGAGAGGAGTCCGTTAGATGTGAAACTTCCCATCTAACGGACTATTGTATATAGAGATGAAAGTCCGTTATATCGAGAGGAGTCCGTTAGATGTGAAACTTCCCATCTAACGAACTATATAGATGAAAATCCGTTATATCGAGAGGAGTCCGTTAGATGTGAACCCTCTCATCAAACGGATTATATACAGAGAGAAGTCCGTTATATGGAAGCTTTACTGTCAACAGAAAACGTTATCACTGACATTAAAATAGGAAGAATTTGACGAGTGTTAAGTGAGCGTTATAAAAGTGACCACACAGTATATAACTAAATATATCCTCGTATACACACAGTTAAGAAACACTTTAGAATAATGTCTCTAATTTTACTTATTATTTGTCAAGGGAGCTAAACCTTTCCAAAATTCACACACCAAAATTTAAACAAAACAAAACATAGTTAACCCGTAGAGCAGTGAGAGTCTACACCCACCGACACTCATACCGCCGTTGGGTGTAGCTGGGGGTGGTGGTGGGTGTACTGCCTTGCCGCCTCACGGATGAACAAGTTACACATGAAATAAAAGTGTTGTTGTCAGTTCCACTACTTGTTTTAGGCTTTTAAACCACCGCCACCTGTGATGATCACGTCATTTACCTGTTAGGGAAAGTTATTCTTATATGTATGCCTGGTTAATATAGAGGCTTGTATGTATGCATGTATGTATGTATGTGCGTATGTATGGCTCTTCTACTCCTCGTGAGACATGAGTGAGGAGATGAATGACGTTATGCTTCTCAGTTTACCTAAGAAGACGATATGTGTGTGTGTGTGTGTGTGTGTGTGTGTGTGTTTCATGTTTTGTGATGACGTGAAGACCCGGTAGAAGAGGTGGTGTTGCTCTAGTGACGTCACCATGCACCCAGAGGCAACCGATACAAAATAAATAACTTTGTTTCCTTAATATCACTTATACCAATCTTGATAATGACTATTCACCTTTAACAATTTGTCATTTAACTCATTGGCATTTTGTTAGATTAATGGCTTCCTGCCTTGCGACCGGCAGAGCTGTTCTCTTTATAGATATGAGTTACACTTGTCTAACAAAAGAAACTGGTAAGACCTACGACAGTAGATTAATTACAGTATTTCTTTTAATGAAACAATCATTGATTGTTTGCATAATTGGCAGGTTATCCGTGAGCGTATTCGTAAGGCGAGTTATTGAGCAGAGTACAGAGTCTTATTCGCTGGCCGAGCGGACATCCTCAGCCAATCAACGGGAGCCACGTATTGATCAAGGACTCGCCCTCCGTCCACGCCCGTTCATCAGCAACAGAAACAACTTGTTCAAAATGTACAGTTAAGTAGTTAGCAGGAGTCAAGAGGACTGGTTAAAAGGAGGGAGAGAAACCTGGTCAGTTACATAGGGAGGGGGAGAGGGGTTGGTGGGTGGGGAGGGGAGAGGGGTTGGTGGGTGGGGAGGGGAGAGGTGCGGTGGGTGGGGAGAGGGGATTGTGGGTGGGTAGGGGAGAAGGGGTGGTAATAAATATAAGTAATGCATAGTGACTCACCGACCGTCATCAGTCAGGAGTTCCCGCGGTCAGTCAGGCACAACACCGACCCCACACAGAGGACCTTGCGCCAGGGATCATAAGAGACTAGTGATGGCTGTAGCTATACTAAAAGTCGCTCACTCTGGAGACGCACTCAGACCAAGAGCTCACTCAACATGCACTCTCTTATTTTCTTTATCACCCTTGTTGTTGTGGTCACTGATTGATTGATAAAATGTGCGTTAATCTCAGCTATTAATGAATATCTTTTTTTTTTTAACATCTCGAGGTTCATATTGAGTGCGACGGGGAGAGTGTGTTGAGTGCGTGAGGAGTTTATTCTTACTTTGAGCGCATCTGCCGTCCACGACCACTTTTTTTGAGATCAACTTTTTTCTTCTATTTTTAAACGGCATGGCGGCGACTGTGGGGGCAAGACAGTGTTATGCGTCAGCTCTCTCTCTCTCTCTCTCTCTCCCTCTCCCCCCCCCCTACGAGAGATTATCAAGAACACCTCCTGATATATTATCTTGTAACAATCCCTCAATAAACTTCTAAACAAACTAACGTAAGCTCAGATTAGTCTATCAATTATTCCTCTAATCCAAACTGACATTTCAAGATCATCTCACTTTATCATCCTCCTCCTCCTCTTCACTCCTCCTCTTCTTCTTCTCCCTCTTCCTCACTCCCCCTCTTCTTCTTCTCCCTCTTCCTCACTGCCCCCAAAAAATCTACAAGACCTTCATGTAGTTTTAAAATGTTGATACACTAGACCAAGTAAAAGTCTTTCCTCCACTCTACATCAAACGTCTCTATATTTCTGATAATAATTTAATTCATTCTGTAGAGATTTTAGAACTCGCTGCGCCAGAGGTTGAGGGAGACGATCAGGAGCGGACCCGAGGAGTGTACGAGCGAGAGTCTTTTGTTTCACGGAATTCTGGATGTTATTGAGAGTTAAGTTCTTGCCTCAGTGTGAGCGATGTTGCAGCCGCCGTGTGAGTGATGTTGCAGCCGCCGTGTGAGCGATGTTGCAGCCGCCGTGTGAGTGATGTTGCAGCCGCCGTGTGAGCGATGTTGCGGCCGCCGTGTTACTTAAAAATTCTCAGCCCGATGTTGAATGCTCACGTATATAATAAATCTGTTGACAGCGCTTATCACCACTGGAGATTAGACGCCCAAACCGCCACACAGTGAGTCCGCTCAGATCAACGCCATTTTAAGGACGATCGGCCGGAATTAGGTCGCTGTTGACGGCGATGATTGTAACGACCCCGAGACCCTGGGTAGAGTGACGTCAGTAGTTTGTTATCAAGACCCGACAGTAAATAATTAGCATCTTTGTTTGCGGTTAACAAATACAAAGGGGGGAAATTATGTAAACAAAAAATTATAAACTTTTAAAATTTACGGAACTTTTTACAATTGTTGACCTGACCTGACTTGCCTGACTTGACCTTGACTGACGTGACCTGACCTTAACCTGTCTGAATTGACCTTGACTGAGGTGAGCTAACTTGACATTGACTCACGTGACCTGACTTGACCTTGACTCACTTGACCTAACTTGACCTTGATTGACGTGACCTGACCTTACCCCAACTGTCCGCCCCTACAGTCTCAGCGCCGTGGGTCGAGAAGGTAACCTGACTCACAGTATCACACAATTAGAATATTTCTTTGGTATTATCATTGGCAACAGCGAGAATTATAGGTTATGTTCCCAAGGAGCATTTTATGCTCCGCGGAGCATATATACCACGTGGAGCATTTTATACCATCCACGGAGCATATACACCACGCAGAACATTTTATACCACCCACGGAGCATATACACCACGCGGAGCATTTTATACCATCCACGGAGCATACACACCACGCGGAGCATGTTTCATCATCATCAGTTAATGCTCCAGGATTTTGTATAATCCTCGGTAGTAATAAACTCGAAGCACAACCATGCATCTGGTACAAATTGTATTGACATTCATCAGTAATGAATGATCAAAGCTCTGGCCTCACACATAATACAGGGAAGGTGTAACAAAGGGGGTATTTGGGCTGTTAATTGTATTATATGTATATACTTAAAAAAAATAGTTTTAAATCTAAGAATGAATAAACCAGGAGCGACTTTGTTGTCACGGCAATGTAGTGAAGGTTTAGTTTAGTTTAGTGTATTTGATTAGTGTTGTACTCCGTAATCGCCAGCCCAACCCGGCCCAGGTGGGGGCAACACCTGCCTGACGTTACTGTGTTCACCTGAGTCCCAACATGATGCCACGCCACAAAACCTTCTCTGAGGACCCAACCAAACCTAAGCTAACCTAACTTAACAGAGGCCATGCAGTATTACCTAAATTAGGTTAGGATTAAGTTTGGTTGGTTTACATGTGTGGCGCAATAGTCAGCCAGACCCTGGCGTGAGTCAGTCTTGTTTTATAATGCAATTATTGTAGCACTCTTGATTAGTGCTACGTCATCGGGTCTGTTTAAATAAGTGTCTAAACCCACAAAGAACGGCAAGAATATTGGTTTATATGTATATTACAGTAGTGAGTTCGTGGGCCGGGTTGTGGTGGTTCAGAGTAGCACACGAGATGGGCCACGTGACTGTCGCCAGGCTTATATGACCTTTTGTGACCTGTAATGGGCAGAGGTTTTTAGGCTTGGCCTGACACGACCCATGACGGGGCTCTGAGATCTGCACTGGGGCTAGATCATCCCCAGCGTGAGAACTGTCCAGGGGTCACACCAGCCCGTGGGTCGTGGCCTCTCATCAGCCACTGGCCACCACAAAACCTTTTTGATCAGGAGACTCTCAACACTCAAAGACCCCCACAGCTCTTGTTGATTCAGCTTCACTGTTTCCTCCATCAGATGCTGTACACCAGAAGCTCCTCCACAACCTTATAAAACTGGGACCTTAACCACCAAAACGAATTGTCCCCAAACCTTACAGACTTACTAAAACGTTAGTCCTTGAGGCCCGAGTGTTAACTAACTACGCCACAGCATCAGGCCTCCTGTTAGTTGACCTCCAGAGCTGTGTGGTCCAGTGCCGCTGGTCCCTTACAGAGAATAACCTGCAACACAACGCAACAAGTCTCTACTCAACCTGTTTAAAGATACAACAACCCAGGGAAAGACTAGCATCAACAATGCCTCCACTGTACTGTACATACTAAACGCAACCAAGAGTCATCCATCTCTCTCATCAGTGCCGCCACCACTTGACCCTTGGTACTGCGACCTGTCTGGGACCAGCAGTCCTGCCTGAGACCAGCAGACCTGCCTGAGACCAGCAGACCAGCCTGAGACCAACACCGGGAAGCGGAAATGTAGTCTGCACTACGAGGGACTCTTGGTCTAGCTCTTGAGAACATAAAGGGACCCATTTCAAATTTTTTTTTCGGTTTTACCAGTTTGCGACTAGATTATTATTGACTAGAAGATGTCACGAACCAGACGGGAGTGCATGGTGGAGCCCTGGACGCTGGTTTGGGTGGACAGAGGTTGTGGGTGGTCGCCCTGGAAGACTCTAAGGGCGGCCCTGGTTCACCTGAGGCCCAGCCTGTGCAGGTCTCTATCCAGCCGTCACCTCACACGAGCTCCTCACTTCCCCCGTCCTCGTTTCCCTAGATGCTCCCTCCCCTGGGATCCCCTCGACTCCCTAGCTAGCCGTCACCGCGAAGGAGCTCCCCTAGGCACCATAGAGAGCCGTCACCCTGCAAGAGCTCCCATAATTCACTCAGATAATCCCCTGGGTTCCCCTTTACTCCACAACTGGTGGCCAGTTTCTCTTAAAACATTTCCCTAGGACGACTCGTTTCCCTAGGTGGAGGCGACGCCCCCCACAATAACAACAACAAAGCAGTCTTCTTCCTACTGAGTATGAGTGTGCGTTTGCCCAGTCCTACGCCCCTCAAGCTGCCGTTTGTTGCGGCTGCTGTGGTACTGGCAGTGGCACTTGCTGCTGCACCATCACCTGCTGTGTCCTTAGCACCTGCTGTTGTTGTTGTTGTTGCTGCTGCTGCTGCTGATGATGCTGATGATGATGCTGCTGCTGCTGTTGCTGCTGCTGCTGCTGTCCGCAGGCCTTGAGCTCGGTGAACACCTCCGTAAAGAAGGAGGGCTCGGCGTTGATCCTCAGCATGGAGGGGCTGAGGGTGTTGATGATGAAGAGGCAGCGGTCCCAGAAGCGGTCCTTGTCCTCCTCGACCAGGAAGGGCTTGAGCGGGTAGGAGATCTCGTTACCCATGTAGGAGTAGGAGAGGTAGAGGCAGGTAAGGACAACTGCCTGTAGCTCCTGCTCGCTGTGGACCTCCTCGCTCACCAACTCCCGCACCAGCATGTACACGAACACCACGTTGGCTGGGTTGATGAAGGCGATGTCCTGCGGAACATCAACAGTATTAGTCATCACATCACTACACATCACCTACCACTAACACACATACGGCAGCTTCCTCATCACAAACACAGTCATCACGCCATTCTTTGTCTTACCACCGTGTCATCACAGTCATCCCCTCCTCATTATTCATCCTTAACAGTCATCACATCATCCATTACCAACACATAGTTATCATGTCATCACTAAATATACATAACAACAATAAACACATAAATTTAATTAATATACAACTTAAGATAATAAAACTATCAGTATACAGAGTCAATATTCATACACATACATACGGACACCAGGTTAATATACAATACGAATAAAAAGTCACCTCTTGCGGCCTCACAGTAACGTTGCTAGAAGCCTCTTGGCGGATATTTTCTTTAAAGTTTACCCTGTAATTATTTTATAGTTTTCTTTAATGTAGATATCTTAACCGTTTTCTTTGATATGTTAGAGCCATGTTGTTCATTTGCGGGGAATATAGGCGAGGATTTTTGTATTTTAGAAACGTAGCTTGTGAAGTGAGGTGCTCCTTTCGTCAAGAGTCGAGAGTGTGTTGTTTGGTAAGCTTGGCGCGCGCGTGTGTGTGTGTGTGATTGTGTGTTAAGCAGCAACAAATGTGACCTTGATGGTGAGTGTGTGTGTGTGTCAGTGTTTGGTTTTGTTTCTTGACACACAGGACTAACACCTCCACCCTTCTTAACTTCTTGAGTACGATGCCTTTCTCTTGAGTACTGTACTATAAATCCGCCTATTGAGTCCGACGACATACCTTGAGTACAATGATTAGTCTTCTATGTACGATGTTTTATCTGTTTGAATACGATGGTTAATCCCCTTGAGTACTATAAAATGTACTTAGGAGATTAAGTCATCGTGTTCACGGGGTTAATATATACAAGTTCCGTAAGTAAATCCTCAGTTACCCTCACGGCGTCAGTAGGGGAAGACATACGCGCTTCACTCTGAACATGACCCAAGTACAGTACACAATTTCTCAGATGGGTGAAGTGTTTCTCGAGGAGGGGAAGGGAGGAGAGAGGTGTTCTTGAGGGGGAAGGAAGCGATAACGAGAGGTATTTCTTGGGGAGAGGGGAGGAAAGACTTAGCGAGAGGGCAGAGGTGGGGGAGAGGTAGAGAGAGGTGTTTATTGAGGGGAAGGGGAGAGAGAGAGAGGGGGGTTCTCGGAGTAAATACAGGAGGACTGGGAAAGAAAGGTCAGAGGTCACATAAGACTGTCTTAAAAAGGTCAAGTGCGTCCCTGAAGCATCACGTGAGAGTGGCCAAGGTGAGGAGGAAGGAGGGGTGAGGGAAGGGAGGAAGGTAAGTGAGGACAATAGAGGGAAAGGAGAAGGGGTGAGGGAGGGTAGAGGGAGAGGAGGAAGGGTGAGGGAGGATAGAGGGAGAGGAGGAGGGGGTGAAGGGAGGGAGAGGTGAAGGTCGGAAGAAGGCGTGAGTAAGTGAGCAAGATAATAAAAATGTAGATATCGTAGGGAAAGGGACAAAAGTGAAAATAATGTCGCTGGTCGTTTCCTCTACCTGATACCTGATATGAAAAAAGGTGTCAGTCTATCAATCGAGGACCTGTAGTGTCTCCTGGTAGTCACTTTGTTTACCTCTGACGTCACCGACATATTGTAAGCTGCTACACCCGACCAACCATCGTACTGTTACAACTATTATTTAATGTCTTATGTTTATTTCGCCCTCGTCTTCATATCGTGTCTGTTATTATTTATTTGTTGGGAAATAATGATAAAATATTCACCGGTCTTCCCCCCCTCCCCATCCTTGATCACTGACGTCATGCGCAATCTCTCTCTCTCTCTCTCTGCTGAAGTCAATAGTCCACTGCGCTCTGTGACGTACGAAGGCAGAGGCGGACAGACAGACACACACACACACACACACAACCTTCCTCCACAACAATACTAAGTAAACTACATACGTCACACAATAAGAGGTTGTTTTTGTTGTTGAGTAATAATACCTGATACGTTTTCATTAATGTTTACAGACGCGGCACAAAGGTTGCACACCAAACTTCCCGTCAAGAAAGAATGTGTAGTGATAACAAGACGAAAGCACACACACACACACACACACACACACACACATCGGTTTTATTACGCGGACCCAATCAGCAAGTGTTATGAAAACTAATTACATATTTTTGTATTTATGCTGATGATTTTGTCACATAGGAAGTATTATAATAACACCAATGTTATTATAATACTCTTAGGGCGAGTGTGTAAATGAGTCAGCCATTCCACCTAACCTAACCTAACCATAACGTGTCAAGATCTCCAACAGCAGAAGAGATTCTTGTAATTAAGTCAGCCGAGGTGTAGCTCCGCGGTCACTTACCTAGGGACCACTTAAACCAACACCCACCTCTTGCCTACAGTACTGGAAACAACAGAACTCTTCTTGTAAAGGAAAACGTTTATTTTAGTATTATATTAAAAGGGTTGGGGGTGAG